AATTCCGAAACCTTACTGCACATCTACATGACACCACCAACCATCTCCCAAAAGATGATGAAGCTACTGTGTAAAATGTAAGAGGAGTTCAGGGAAGAAACGTGTGACAGACGGACGGACGGACATGAGTAACAACAATATACACTTTCTTTAGAAAGTGCGGGTATAATCATGCCAAAAAATACGTATTGTTTATTTTTTAAAAATGTTGAATCGTTACAATTGAACAAAAATTCTTTCACGTGCACGGTCTTAAACTTTGAACTTTTGCAGCAGAAAGTAAATTTCACGTAGATTTCAGAAAGTAATCCAAAAAATGCCAGATTTTAAAAAAGGAAAGCAGTGAAACAGATCAAAAAGATTATTATCTTGCGCTTTAGAGTCATGTTAATATACAGAAAAGACAGAAGTTACATCTGCTGCAATTTTTCTGTGTCTAAGCAAAGGCAAAGGACTGTTTTACAAAGAACGGATACAGAGACGGCTGCATTTGACGAGAAAAATATAGAAAAAAAAACGTTACGGAACTGCCATAATCTTTCAACCAAGAACACATCATAATCTTACTAAATATTGTGTTTTAAGCTGGTGAAATTAAATCAAAATTAAGTAATAAAAAAGTGACAAATATATTTTGTTGCCTCATTACATAAATTTGCATTATAACAATGTGACGTTAAGAACTGCAAACGATAGTATTGTTATCCCGCCTACCTCCCAGTCAATTTTCAAAAGTTAACATATTTGATGAATTTTTAATATTTTTTATAGATAATTATATGGATTTTCACAAAACATTACTTATTTGGAAAAACAAAGAGAGATAAGTCTAAAATTTTGGTAAAACTTGTGTTTTTCACTATAAAAATCAACGGAAAACGGAAAATATTTTTAAAACATCTCCCCCCCCCCCTGTGTCACAAAAATTCCTTTTTACAGGTAATATGGAATGTTATTTCACAAATTCATACCAAAGCTTTTTGTGTGACACGGGGGGGGGGGGGGGGGGGGGGGGGGGGGGGGGTTGGGGGGGGGACATGTGTTTATTGACAAAAAACGGTAAAAATGTTTATTTCCCACCAATTTCAAAGCGATTTACAACTGAAACATTACATTTTATTGATATATTCATGTTTTATTTATTTGCCTAAAACAAAAAAAAAAGAAATAAGGAACATTTAATCATATCCAAGACTATTTCAAAATATGGTGATGCCTGAAACTCACGATTTCAATGGAAAATATCGTCTACCCCCCTTTTTTCAAGAGCTGGAATTATGGATAATTTACTGTTTAGTGTTGGCATTAAGACAATTCATCAATTACCATTGAACTGTTCTTTGTATTAAACAAAGATTTTATGGCAAAATTGCTATACATTTTGAATTATATGGTTCCAAAATGTAGGCGGGAATCGAGAGTTAGCGTGCGTATTTCTTTGTGCGAAAAAAACCCACATGAGTTTGTTTAAAAAATTCGCGTAGCTTTGTACGCGGGGTGATCAAAAAGTTCGCGAACTAATTGAATAACTTCCAAAAAAGAAATGATATGGGGTTTTAGTGTTGAATTTTTTAAAAAGTAGCCTTCTCCGATTTTAATGGGCATCTTTAACTATTCTGCCCATGCGCGGATCACTTGATATAGGCGGTCACGTGACATACTCCTTAGCTTCTGTCACAGAAGCTTAAAAAAAATTCCGACTCTTGTACATGTATTTCTTACCATGCAAATTATTTTTTACAACAAAAACAGCCCATTTGTCAGAAATGGCCTAATCTCGGTAATAGTATGGATGGATAATGATATCTTTTTGCAGAATGGGCATGGTGACCATCAATACCCAAGTCCTCTGTCTTTTGAGCGTCGTTTATTCCACGTGGATAAAGTATAGATGCCTTCACTTAATCATATCGGATATGTTTAAAGTCGCAAGTAAACGATATTTTAGGGTTTAAATACTTATATTATTGTTAAGATATTCATCTATTTTTTTAAACGTAAGTTGGCGATCTTTCATATCAGATTGCTTAACGAAGGACACGTCTCTTTCCCAGTTTGCTTTCCACGGATAACGGAACAAACATCATTTTTAAACATCTCCCTTCCTTCACTTAAACAATCAATCCAATTAATGACATAACTTTAGGCTAGTCTTTCGCCTTCGTAAACCGTGAACAAATTATTATAAACTTCTGCAAAGGAATTTAGGAAGATATACGTTTAACTTTACAGCCGTTCGTTTCTCGAATACGACTGAGTCAGCCATTTTTTGTCACAAGTGATCTGCCTTATGACGTCATTTTCACATTGTGACGTCACAAACACGGGGCAAACGTTCCATTACATGTGCTATTTATAGTACATGTGTATGACTGTCTGCCAAATTTCATTCTGATCGGAATTGTGGTTTAGTAAATATAGAGATAGATTGCGAACTTTTTGATCACACGTACTCGTATATTGATGTATTTATGGGTGATGAGGAGGATGACATTTAAAAAAAATGAATTGTCTTCTTAAATGCCGCTACTCGATTACATAAAGGAATTTATAATGATTATCAATTTGTGCAAGTTGCACTTAAAGACCTTGTTCTGACAGATAGAGCATTTTTTATACCTCTGCCTCATCTGCCGCAGTGCCATTACTAATACTTCAGGGTAGAGGGAATCTGTTTGACTGCACAAACAATCCTGACATAGTCCCGATAAAGGGAATTTGAATAGTGGGTAGTGTCTTGTCCAATTATCGCCACCTTTTAATACCTGCGTTGGAAGATTCAACTACCCACCTGACCTGAAAAGATTTTGAAAAATATTGTTAAAAAATACATTTTCACAAAAAATGTAAACAATTTATTGCAAGAATTCACCTGTTGTTACAGTGTACCTTTGTTACAAGACTGCACATATTTGCATCATCAGTAATTTGTTTTTGTCCTTTTTCCGAAAACTTATGCCTGGATTCCAAGATCTTCGAGCAGAGGCAAAGCATCTCTGAACCAACAGTCAACAATAAAAATGTCTTATTCATTAAGCCAGCTCTGAATACTTTTTGCATTTGTTTTAATGTTGTGTTTGAAGATTGAATCATCATTGTTTTTATAATCAGCAAGGTATGGTCCTAAGAGTAAGACAAAGTACCCTAGAATTAAGACAAGGTAACCAGCAATAGTCGCAATCACCATATAAGCTTCATTAGTGGCCTCCCCTTGTGGATACTGTAAGCATATTTTTGGTAATGGAAGTTGTTGCTCTTGCCTTTTTATTTGTATGTGCCGTCCAGGACCAAAATATCCTGTTTCCTTCTAGATGTTACCAAACAATGTCTCCTTGTGCTAGCTGTCGAGTATGCATACATGTATATACATGGTCACTAATAACTTCCTCTCTGGTTATGTGTTCAATCCCAAGAAGATCATCTATGCTCCTCTTGCAGCACTAATAGTTCTTAAACTGGATTTCGAAGTTTGAAAGAGCGTTGGCAGTATTTAATTCGACAATCCATTCTTTAATTTGCAGAGGAATATGGCTACGGATTTTCTAAACTTCTAGATGGTGTAGATTTTACGTCATCTTTCACAGAATCACATATTATTTTGAAATTGTCTTGTTGAGTCCAAGTAGACATAAATGGTCTGTATCTGTCAGAGACGTAGTTTCATTAAGGTTCAAATAAGACTTCTCTGTTGAAGTAAATGTCTCTTAACAAATGCATGGTCTGTCTTTGGCTGAATTGCGGTACTTGTGGAGATTTTCCAGATGACCATGACAACATATATTCCCGGATGGAATTGGTACATTGTGTTAAAAACAAAACGGTTGACCGGCATTCTGGGGACACTACTAATCATTAGGGTCCTGATTTGTTACAAATGATGCAACAGGCATGAGTCATTGCATTGGATTTGAGTTGCAAGGATACAGATGGTCGAATAGACAAGTGTTTTCTGTTGTCATTTGATAGGAACAAAGCTAGACATTCCCTGTGAATGGTAAAGGAGGGTGTTGTAGATTTATGGTTTGAAACATTTCTGTAATAATTGCTTCTTCATTCGCTGCAGATGACTGAATTTTCTCTACTTTCGACCGTATTTTTTTCCTAAATATTTTTCTATGCCTATGTCAAGCCACTTCCTCTTTTGGTTTTGTTCTTTCTATGCCCAAGTAAAAAAAATTCCGGAAATTAGCATTACACAAGTAAACAAAATTCTAAAAAAAAAAATTAATTAAAGTACGGTGCCATTCTTAACCATAAAAAAAATCAAATGAATTATGATTAAAATTTATCAATTTAAAATTTCATTATGGTTTAGGATTGACGGCTACTCAATATCGTTGAAAAGGGTCCTAAATTTCTTTGTTACTTGGAACTTTTGCATTACCGCATTTGGATTGGATACTTATAATACTGCACATGCCGTTTCCTTTCCAAAAATCAAGACGAAGAACAAAAGGTTTTAACACGTAAAAAAAAATAAAGATAACCTCAAAGTTCCGTTGCAAAATAATTACGTTTGATTATCAGAATAAGAATATCAGCAGTCTTGTTTCTTAAAGTCTTCATTTCGTAAATTCTATAGTCGATACAATATAACCTTGTAAGCAAATACAATTAATCATTGAATCAAATGTTGACTGACGTTTTTCATACTAATAGTGGGTCCATTATTTATACTTTGAATTTACGACGAATTTTTCCGTTACATGTATTTCCCAATCTTGACAAATAGCACACGGCGGATTTGACCGGTCGGCAGGGGATGCTCACTCCTCCATTGCACCTGATCCCACCTCTGATGTGTTGGAGGTCCGTGTTTGCTCTGCTTCTATTTTATATTGTTTTATGGTATCTTAAATACTGTTCGTTATATCCATATCTTTCATTTCAGGGATTGACAGGGCCGAATTATGCACTTTCTGCTTTAGTTCTTTCTGTCGTGTGATTAAAAAATTATAAACTTTTATATTTTACTATTTTACATATATTCTTATTTACAGACATGCCATATGGAGGCTGGCTTGAATACGAGAAAGGCTTCAACAGAGACGATGAAAATATTCACGTCATTTATTACGAGGATTTAAAATTAGTAGGTATTTTACTGAATCTTTATAACTTTTTAAAGTGGATGCCATTCACGCTAAACGCCTAATGTCATGTTACTACCCTTACAAAAAAATACTATAGTTAACTATAGTTTACTATAGTTAACTATAGTAAATCAAAGTGTCAAAGTTTTCGTCAAAGTTTTTCAAAGTGTCAAAGTTTTCGACAAAGTTTTTCAAAGTTTTCGTTTTTCAAAGTGTCCAAAGTTTCCGATAAAGTTTTTCAAAGTGTCAAAGTTTTCGTCAAAGTTTTTCAAAGTGTCAAAGTTTCCGCCAAAGTTTTTCAAAGTGTCAAAGTTTCCGCCAAAGTTTTTCAAAGTGTCAAAGTTTCCGCCAAAGTTTTTCAAAGTGTCAAAGTTTTCGCCAAAGTTTTTCAAAGTGTCAAAGTTTTCTCCAAAGTTTTTCAAAGTGTCAAAGTTTTCGCCAAAGTTTTCCAAAGTGTCTATGTTTTCGCCAAAGTTTTTCAAAGTGTCATAGTTTTCGATAAAGTTTTTCAAAGTATCAAAGTTTTCGATAAAGTTTTTCAAAGTGTCAAAGTTTTTGATAAATTTTTACAAAATTTCAAAGTTTTCGATAAAGTTTTTTGAAGTGTTAAATTATCCAAATTTTCGATAAAGTTTTTCAAAGTGTCAAAGTTTTTTGATAAAGTTTTTCAAAGTGTCAAAGTTTTCGATAAAGTTTTCCGAAGTGTTAAATTATCAAGTTTTCTATAAAGTTTTTCAAAGTATCAAAGTTTTTGATAAAGTTTTTCATTCATAGTGTCAAAGTTTTTGATAAATTTTTTGAAAGTATCAAAGTTTTTGATAAACTTTTTCAAAATGTCAAAGTTTTCGACAAAGTTTTTCAAAGTTTTCACCAAAGTTTTTCAAAGTGTCAAAGTTTTCGTCAAAGTTTTTCAAAGTGTCAAAGTTTTCGTCAAAGTTTTTCAAAGTGTCAAAGTTATCACTATAGTAAATCAAAGTTTTCAAAGTGTCAAAGTTATAACTATAGTTAACTATAGTATTTTTTGTTAGGGTATAACCGGTAGAAATACACAAGTCGGTACCTCGTAAAATATTTTATTATTGATCCAAACTTGGAGTATTCTACACGATCGGTATGTCGGCGTGGACAGTAGAAGGTCCAGTTTCGAACTGACGATCATGTATGAAACGGCCAATTTATAACAATGATGAAATAAAGAATTAAAATGAAGAGTTACGCTAAGCAGATGGACATAATTGATATAATTAAATTAACTGAATAATAATTAACATGTTCACTCTGGCACAAGTGGCATCAAATGTCTTGCGGTCAAGGTATCTTATTATATTTTTACTTAGCACTATCAAAGAATATAATTGTGACTCAAAATCTGTTCATTTCACACGGTCACAGTACCCCTTCGCCCCCCCCCCCCCGAAACACGTCCTCGTGTTGCGACGTTTGCCTATTGTTGGTGGGAGCTCTTCTGGCAATATTTGAATTTCTTGAATGCTGGTTTCGACGTCCACGGGACGGACCACTGTTAATTGCTCTTGGTAAGGCAAGAAATGGTTCAGCGTGCTTGTTATGCTTGAGCAGAGAAATAATCTGTAATTTTTTTTGTCTTGGCTGGAATGCTCTAGGTCAGATATAGCATTTATAGCATTCCTCGACTCCTCAAGCTCAGTTGACGCAGCTGCAAGTTTTTCCTGAAGTTCTCTGATAGTCTTGTCTTTCTCCGATAGTCGAATATGAGACGTTTTCCGCTCGCACATCAATTTGTTTTTATAAAATCGAGCATCCGATTTGCTGAGAGCCGCCTGTTCCCGGAACTTTTCAGCTTGTGTTTCCAAAGTTTCAGCATGAATTTCAATGACACTTACTGAAGAGAAAGGCATTTCACTCAAAGATTCTTTTTCTTTGTGGGTTGTCCGACATTTTATCATTCATTCTCTGTTCCTGATTTGCTTCCTCTTTGATTTCCTTCGCACCGTACATGTTTCGTCAGTCTGTGTTTTGACCGAGCGCGTCGGTACTGAAAAGACGGCACAGATGGTACAGAAAGTCCGTGTTTTACACATCCTAGCATAGTGTCCTCTTCAACACTTGAAACATGATGACGTCAGTGCGTTGCAGAAGGTCCAGCCGTGTCTTGACAGCCGTGTCCGTAGCGTCCACATTGATGTAAGGTGAAGCGCGGTGGGACTGGTCGCATACAGGCAGGAACAAATGGGAACATATCCATGATTAGGGGAATTCTGCTATGAAGAATGGCAAACTCGCTTAGCTGTATGAGAGTACTGGAATCTAGCTACTACGAAGTATATGCAGTAGCCTTGGGTAAATTACCCTTAGGATTCTCCACCAAGTATAACCGGTAGAAATACACAAGTCGGTACTTCGTATAATATTTTATTATTGATACAAACTGAGTATTCTACACGATCGGTTTGTCGGCGTGGACAATAGAAGGTCCAGTTTCGAACTGACGATCAGGTATGAAACGGCCAATTTATAACAATGATGAAATAAACAATTAAAAGAGTTACTCTAAGCAGATGGACATAATTGATATTATTAAATTAATTAAATAATAATTAACATGTTCACTCAGGCACAGGTGGCATCAAATGTCTTGCGGTCAAGGTCCATAATTATGTTTTACTTAGCACTATCAAAGAATATAATTGTGCCTCAAAATCTGTTCATTTCACACTATCACATTACCAAGAGTTTCCATCAAAGCGCTACCTATTGCCTGTTTACCGCCCCCTTTATCTCTGTCTATCTATGATGATACTTCAGATACAATTTTAGGTGACTTGCAGGGTGTCAACTCGTCTTTAATTGAGAAGGATAAAGTTAGGGACCTATTTGACAAACAACGGCCATATGGAAACTGCATTTAGTCTTTATTTCACAAAAATAAGAGTAAAAAAAGGGGATTCGGTTGAGTTTACCAAATGAATGTTTGTTCATTATCCTAATACTAGATTCGCAAACCTACCCGTATCATTTACAGTTTAATCAATAGAATAATTATAAGTTACACTGATCACACAATCTAGTTATCTGGAATATTTAGGCCTCGGTCCTGTGATGTTACATATGGTTACTACAGCTAATGACAAAATTTGTTTCCATTGCAATTGAAATCAACAAATGGCATCACCAGTAAACAACAAATGTTTCGTAAACTCCGATTAGGTATTGAAGGGTCGCATCAAAGTTCATTTCCAGACTATGCTTTACTCAACATTGGTCAATATTTAAATGAGTAACGAAATTTTCTCTTCTCATTCAACCAAATCCAGAATGATCGAAGATCGTACATTCTGGCCATGGTTTGCGACGATGGTATTATTTCAAAATTGGTATCTTTTCAAGGAAATGGGTTAATATATGAATTATAAATTAAATCTGAACATTTATATATTTAATATATATGTGCTTGAAATTAAGATAAACTTTTTAAAATACATAGCGGTTCAGATTTTTATTGTGCAGTATCTCCCAAAATAATGAAGGAAATTCATTCGATATTGAAATTAATTTATTTTTTGAGTTATTTCTACATGAAATGAAGACTACGCAAAAAACTTTGAATATGCATCCATTTACATGTTTTGATTCGGTCTGTGTGTTTATTAGTTACGTTTTGTACCTGCTAAGGTTAACGTTATTTTGTCATATACAGTGGATCAGTTAGCAATACATTGTTATGGATATCCGAGGGAGCCCCCCTCCAACATTTAAAGGGCAACATTAATAATTTATGTAATTTCTTTCTTTTTTCTATAGAAAGCAGTAGAAGAAATTCGCTTGTTGGCGAACTTCTTGGAAGTTAAATGCACAGATACTCTGATAGAAAATATTGCTCAGAAATGTGGATTCGATAATTTGAAAAAAGCTCATTACACTGTCAAAAAAACAGAATCTAAAGTGGGTCACTACAGAAAAGGCAAGTTTATAGTCCTTTATCAAAAGAATGTTTAAAATATTTGTTTGATCATGAGATCAAATATTAATTATATGTGCTCAAACACCATTGTGAAATGTACAATGAAGTTGCGCACGGTGTTGGTGTCAGTTTCGGTAACGTCAAAATGACGTTATTTTACTTGAAGTTCTAGAAAATTTACTTGACGTTACTTTTTTGCTAACATTTTTTATGGAGAAAAAATAAAAACCCAGTAATGCCGCCAATTAAATAATTCAAGTAATTGAAAACACGTGTAATTAAATTCTCTGCACTCATTTCCATGCATATTACAGGAGGAAAATAAAAGCATGGTTTGCGTCATAAAAAAAAAAAAACTTGGTAGATATAACGAAACTTGTTCAACATCGCATTTTCAATTTACATGCTTTTTATTTTATTGAGATGAATTCAAAACAATTCTATATGATATCATATCAGTAGGCCCCAGAACCTGTCCTTTGCTGATTTAGCATTGAATTTTTTTGTTAATTCCCATCCCATCTTGTAATGAAAATCTGATACATTTGTACTCACCTCCGACAACCCCTTACCCATATTCAATACTGTAAACCAACTTTTATTCGCGACGACTTTATTTCGCGATTTACCACAGATAAACTAGTTCGCAACGATTTATTTTCGCGATCAAGCCTTTTTGGATCTGTTGTTAATAGACACATACACTTTAAGGACCGGTTCGCGGCGAGAAATATTCGCGATGACGAGGCTCTCGCGAACTTCGCGAAAATTTCTCGCACGCGAATAAAAGTTGGTTTACAGTATTGGACTACTCAATGTAAACTCGTCATGTATAGAACAGTTAAAATAGAGTTGACACACTTTACTGTGAGTTAATTCAAATTTGAAATCATATCCTTGCATCAATTTTGGTTTGTGTGATTTTCTTTTCGTGTCTTAATTCGAACTCTGATAGGTACTTTTGTACAGATTCTGGCAAGGATATACACTGATACAGTGTGTACAAGTAAACACTGCACATGTTTTATTTTATATATAAATACAACTTTTAAAACTTGAGTTATTCTCCTAATTAATCATTATTGGCATGTTTTTCTTTTATCCATATCAGGCTCATCAGCAATAATATTAAGAGTAAGTTTTGGAGAGAGAAAAATATATTGACGCTTTACATAACATTTTATGCATTGAACCTAATAACGTCAAAACGGGTGTTGCTAAAACGCGGAACGGAAAACGGAACGGATTTCGAGCGGAACGGAACGGAAAACGGAAAATTTTAGTCAAACAATTAACATAAATTCGATATAAATCAGATAAAAGAGCAATATTCTTGGTGTAAAATTCATTTCTTATAAAAATTTATTGTAAACTGTTATATATTCATGAGTCCTAAACACCCTCCGTTCAGAACTGGTGTACAAGCGATGCCCCCCCCCCCTCTCAACAGGAAGAAATTCGAGCCCCCCCCCCCCCCCCCACACACACAAAATAGGAATTTTGTGTTTCGGCAAAGGACATATACCCCCGTTTTTTTGTGTTTTTTTTTTCAAGTCAAATTTTTTGTATGTTGGAAATTTCTTACTGACCCCCCCTCCCCCCTTTCAATTTGTTTGAAATGCCAATGTCTGTAAAGGCAAAAATAACTGGTTATGATATTCAGATTATGCACGCAGTGTCGAATTCGCGAATCATGAAATGGGGAGTGACAGTTTCGGGTCTGGGTAGGGGCCCACAGCCACATTTAAAATTGATTTATTAAATCTTATGTATATTTAGGACACAAAAAAGGGGGTAGACCTATTACCATCCTCACAATGTCAAGGGTTTGTGATTTCTCGAACTCCCGAGTTCGAGAAATCACAAACCCTTGTCATTGTGAGGATGACCTACTACAACTTCTCAGACCTTTCCGATGAGCGGGAAAACAAACTCATTTTTTACGCGGTCACTCATATACCCTCCCCCCTTCCCAACACACACACATATGTACCGCAAACAAACAAAATTTAACTTCATTGAATGCAAAGATTCTGCATTATATCTACCACATGAAAGTTTTCCAACTTTGTCTATCCAGATCGAATTTATATATATAGAAAGCGACTCTTTTGAATAAAATTTTTAACAACCAGTGTATATATACAGTACCGACCAGACCTAACCTGACACAAAGCAGTCCCGGGGACTGCTTTCTGGGACTGCTAAAGCAGTCCCACAGCGGTCCCAGAGAGCAGTCCCAGCAGTCCCAGAAAGCAGTCCCAGCAGTCCCAGTGGGAGGGGTTTATTAATATAATGGGCGGAGCTAACTCAGAAATGAGATTTCCAATAAACAATGGAACTATAAAAGGCAGTAGAAATTGATTCTGGGTAGTATGCCAGGAATCCTTACTTGTACACGAAGGTCATTTATGAACAGAACATGTACGCACATAAAAATTAAAATAATTATTGATAATATTTATTGGAGAAAGAAGGCTTTCACACATATGTACATATGTGAATTACACTGAACATGAATATTTAATCACAATTCTTGGATATATTAATAATTCTTCTGTGATTGATACTGGTTCTCATGTCTATTTTTTATACAGAAAATTAAAATTAAATATTTTCCACCAGAAGAAGCTTTAAATAGATCTTATCATTATATGGCCAATTTAGACTATCGGGATACTCTAAAGTTAGAGTTTTCTTAAGTATTGGGGCTTTTAAAAAAATCTTTGTTAATTTT